GCTCCGCAGCTAGGGGAAACCCAAAGCGCAGACCAACCCTCGGAGAACCGTGTTTACTTTACGGCCCTTTCCCTGCGAACGCGCACCCCCCCTAGCTAGGGGTCAGGGCTCTCTAGCCCGTAGCCCGATCCCGATCATCCGGCCCGCTGGGTGCGCTTCTCAGCTCCCCGGCCCTGGATGTGAGGTTACTAACTGCACTCCAAGTGTGCTCCAAGGGCCGGGCGGGTCATCCAGAGATGGTCCCGCGGGGCGGACTTTAGGTTATTCCGAGCGGGTCCATACGGTGGCGGCCCCGCCGGCGGCGGGGGAGGAGGCGGTGGCGGCGGTGGCGGGTACGGTGGCGGCCCTGACGGCCACAACGCCTGGTGTGGAGCCGCTGGGGCGGCCCCTCGACCCTGCGGCCGTTCCAGCGGCGGGGGCGGAGGTGGTAGTGTGGGTGGCGGAAACGGTGGCGGCCCCGGCGGCCGCACCGCCGGGCGTGGAGCCCCAGCGACGGCCCCTCGACCCAGCGGCCGCTCCCGCAGTGGGGCCGGAGGCGGTGGTGGGGGCGGCGGGCGTGGTGGCGGTGTCGGTGGCCGCAACGCCTGGAGCGAGTCTTCGGGGGCAGCGGCCCCCTGCCCCTGCGGTCGTTCCACCGGGGGGGGGGGGGGGGGGGCAAATTTTCCTCTCCCCTCCAGGAAGGGGGGGGCCAAGGCCCGAATTTCCCAAAGGCCCCCCTTCCCCCTCCTGGTGCCGCTCCCCACCAGGGCCTAACCCTTGCTTTCAACCCCAGGAGGAAAAAGGGAAAAGGCCGGAAAAAAAACCCAAGGGCATTTGCCCCCCCCACCCAAAAAAACCCTAACCAAGGTGTTTTAATTCTTTTTTCTGGGGAAATTCCGGCCAATCTTCTTTGAGGCCCTTCAAAAATTTTTTTTTTTGAATCTCCAATCACAAAAAACCCGGGGCCATTTTTCTTTTTAAAAAACCCGGGGGGGGCTCCCCCTCTCAACTACCATTTGCTCATAAAAAAAGCACCTGGGGCCCGAGGGGGTTTTTATTTTCTCCTTTGCCGGGTCACCCCAAAGCGGGTGTTCCAAGAAGGCAACGGGCCCCAAAAAAATCTCAAAAAAAGTGCCCCCCCGGCGTGCCTTCGGTCGGGCCAACCCCAACCCTTCAAAATTATAAAACGCCCCTCCCCCGCCCGTGCGGGCAAAGGTGGCAAAGGCAACCCCCCCCAAAACTATTTAAAC